CTATAGACTAGACTATAGACTAGACTATAGACTAGACTATAGACTAGACTATAGACTAGACTATAGACTAGACTATAGACTAGACTATAGACTAGACTATAGACTAGACTGTAGACTAGACTAGACTATAGACCAGACTATAGACTAGACTGTAGACTAGACTATAGACTAGACTATAGACTAGACTATAGACTAGACTATAGACTAGACTATAGACTATAGACTAGACTAGACTAGACTATAGACTAGACTATAGACTAGACTAGAGACTATACTATAGACTAGACTATAGATTAGACTATAGACTAGACTATAGAAGACTATAGACTAGACTATAGACTAGACTATAGACTATAGACTAGACTATGACTAGACTATAGACTAGACTATAGACTAGACTATAGACTAGACTATAGACTAGACTATAGACTAGACTATAGACTAGACTATAGACTAGACTATAGACTAGACTATAGACTAGACTATAGACTAGACTATAGACTAGACTATAGACTAGACTATAGACTAGACTATAGACTAGACTATAGACTAGACTATAGACTAGACTATAGACTAGACTATAGACTAGACTATAGACTAGACTATAGACTAGACTATAGACTAGACTATAGACTAGACTATAGACTAGACTATAGACTATAGACTAGACTATAGACTAGACTATAGACTAGACTATAGACTAGACTATAGACTAGACTATAGACTAGACTATAGACCAGACTATAGACTAGATTATAGACTAGACTATAGACCAGACTATAGACTAGACTATAGACTAGACTAGACTATATAGACTAGACTATAGACTAGACTATAGACTAGACTACAGACTAGACTATAGACTAGACTATAGACTAGACTATAGACTAGACTATAGACTAGACTATAGACTAGACTATAGACTAGACTATTAACTAGACTATAATATAAATTTTCGTAAAATTTCCAAATGGGTCTTTTCACTATTAATACTCTGTTACAAACATCCATCCTCGGTCTGTTTGTTATTGCTTTTGTTGCCCACTATGCTTTCATTTCATTCCTTTTTTTGCTTAAAGTTTTTAAGCGCGCTTCAACGTGACTTATAACATAGAATTTCCGGCGCTTTAAAAATGGACTGACTGTAATGTCAATAAATCACTGTAAAAAAAAGAGTTGCGTAGTTGCACAACGTACTTGTATGCATGTCCTTGCTGGCTCTTTCATATACACTTCTTTTGTATGCAAGTATTTGGTATATAAATTGTATTAAGAAAGGACTAAGTATAAAATAGGGTTACCAAATAAAGTCGAATTTTTACACTACTAATTGGGTTGTATTAGGGCATGAAAAAATTTTTTTTTATTCTGAATAGCAAAAAAAACAAAAATTATACATTTTCGAATATCTGCTAATCCTTAATGTGCTCTATGTAAAAAATAACCAATATTTCCTCACTCTATTCATCACTTTAAGCTGTTTTTAATTAGTAACATTTTCATGAAATTTAGAAAAAAAAATCCTACAGAAATAAGCATATTTTATAAAAACCCAACTAGCTTTAAGGCATATTTTTTTTTTTCTTCCTGATCATTTTCTACTACAGCTTTCTCTAACCGCTTCAGTTAACAACTCAAATTTATTCTAATGAAAAAAGAAAACATTCTGCATAAAAAATTATATAAAATTCTTTAGTTAATTTTACGCCTTTAGTCACTTCAATTCTTTATCGTTGGTTGCCATTTTTTTTTCTCACTGCCACATTTTTACTTTAACATTTTAATAATGCAACGACGAAATATTTACATTAAAAATCATGACGAGAAAAAAATGTTCTTTTAAAACGATTAAAAGCGAAATAGTTGACCCCTTTTTTGCGCAGTATATATATCTGATGTTATGCAGTTTTTGCACAGTTCCTGCTTGTACACACCAGATATGTATGTATGTGTGTGTGTGGTTCTTTTGGTCGGTTGATTGTCTGGTTGAAAATGGCGAAAATATAAGAAAAATTTACAGAAAAATGTTGCAAAATTAATCGTTCATTGTTTCATAGTCATTTTTCAAATGTGATTAACACAATAGTTGTTACGAGCGTATACAATTGTAAAAGAAAATTTCGCGTGTTCGAGATAGCAGCAATGTTTTCTTTTTTAGAGCATTTATAGTAGAGTTATTATGGTAGCAGTATGAGTTGTTAAATATTGCATATTAAATAGTTGACTTTGGTTCTTAACAAAGTAAAAGAGTGCTGTACTCGGGCTGTACACAGAAAGAATAAGAAGAAATTGGTTTCAGTTAACGAAATAATTGTGTTGGAATTAAAATTGCCACCACTCGTCAAAATGATTATTGAGCTTTTGTACAAAAGCTCTTTAAGAACACCTCTATGCAATAAGTATATTGGGATAAAACACAACTGTCACAAACTTTAGCCTTATTGTTAAAAACCTGTTTAAATTGTATTATTAACTTGAGTGTAAAAATCTCTTTGTTAAACAGCTTTTTAAAACTTTTGAAACAACATTTTTTTTGCAAAAAGCTAATGTTTTTTAATCATTTTTTAAATATATTTCTTAAAAAAATAAGTTTTTGAAGAAAGATCTTAAATAATTAATCTTTTCATATGGATTTTAATTAAAAGAGCTTTAAATAAATCTTTTATCAAAAACGCTTTGCAAAAAAAGCTTTTAATTAAACACTTTTTGCAAAAAATATCTTAAAAACAGCTTTTTATAAAAGTAATATTTAAAAGAAAAATATGTCTATTAAAGCTTTGAAGGACTTAGTTTTTAAAAAACTGCTTTTTTATTTTATTAAAAAGCTTATTTAAAAAAGAAAAGATTTTTAAAATAACTTTTTAATAAAAAGCATTTAACAATACTTACAACCAAATTTTTAAATAAATATTTGAAGAAAAAGCTTTTTATAATTTAAACTAAAATCTTTATATGAAACGTTTTCAATACATATACAATGCTTTTTACAATAAGCTTTTCATAATAGACTATTTAGCAAGAAACTTTTCATAATAATTTTTTAAATAAAAAGCTTATCACAAGATGATTTTATATAAAAAGCTTTAAAGAATAAAACTGTATATGAATTGATTTTATAATCAGCAATTCTTAAAGAAAAAAACTTTATATAACAAACTTTTAAATTAAAATATTTGTAAAATGAGCTTTTAAATGTAAAGCTTTTTATCACAAAGTTATAAATGAAAAGCTTTTTACGGTAAGATTTTAAATGAAAAGCTTTTTTATGATACTATTTTAAAAGCTTTTTACAGTAAGATTTTAAATGAAAAGCTTTGTTATGATACTATTTTAAAAGCTTTATATAGTAAGATTTTAAATGAAAAGCTTTTTTATTATACTATTTTAAAAAAAGCTTTTTGTAATTAACTAATAAATTAATAGCTTTTTTCAATAAGTTTTAAAAACTTATAAATGAAAATGTTAAAGCTTTTAAAGGAAAAGCATTTCATTACAAAGTTATAAACGAGTGAATGCTTTTAAATGAAAACCTTATATCACAAAGCTCTAACCGAAAAACTAATTGCAATAAACTTTTAAATGAAAAGCTTTTTATGGTAATCTTTTAAAGAAAGCTTTTTACAATTAGCTAATTACAATAAGCTTTTAAATGAAAAGCTTTTTAAGGCAATCTTTTATAGAAAGCCTTTTACAATTAGCTAATTACAATAAGCTTTTAAATGAAAAGGCTTTTTATAGAAAATATAAGAATATAGAAAAAGCTTTTTGAAAAAATATACCTACATTGTAAAAATTTTTTAATGAAATGAGTTTTTTCTTTAAATTGTTATTAAACAAAAAGCTTTTAAAAAAATTAAGTAAAAATAAGCCTTTTAGAAAATTAACAATTTCGAGAAATTTACTACAACATGTTCTTTCACAAAGAAAGCTTTTTGAAGAATATAACTTTGAATCAAATGCTTTTTATAGAAAATATAAAAATATAGAAAAAGCATTAAGAAAAAATATACTTTGTTAAAATTTTTTAATGAAATGAGTTTTTTTTTAATTGTTATTAAACAAAAAGCTTTAATAAAAATTAATTTTATAGAAATAAAAAAGAGCTTTTTAAAAAAATTAAATAAAAATAAGCTTTTTAGAAACAATTTCGAGAAACTTACTACAAAATGTTCTTTCACAAAGAAAGCTTTTTGAAGACTATAACTTTGGATAAAATGCATTCAGATGGACAATAATATTATAAAGTGAAATAAAAAGCTTTAATGTTTTTCATATGTGGGCCCTTACTTTGAAAATACGTTTGTTTATGCTGGCCCCCAAAAAGTTAAATAATATCTGCTCTTTTGTTGGTTAAGAACATTTTTATTGCTATGAATTTTTAAAGCTAATAATATCACACACAGTGGAAAAAATGTTTAAAATCGTAAAGAAAATTTTTATTAAATTAAACATTTTTCAGAAGGAAAATAAGGACTATGTCCAATATTATCACTAGGAACACATGAGTGTTCAATTTCATTTATGGCAGAAATTAGTTCTAAAAGAACAATACATGCAATGTAAACCCCTTAATTTTTCTTAGTGTATATTCATGACTTTACTTCAGTAAGAGTTTTTAAAACCTAATTAGTAATAATTTATAAAAATGTAAAAAAAACGAAGAAAAAACTTGTAAATCCTCGCCATTATTAATATTCCAGCAAAACTGTGTGTATAAAACTGCTAACACAACACAGTAAAAAAAGCATACTATAACAACAAGTCCAAATCCAGAAACATAAATTTCATAAATTGTTGACTAAATTGCCAACAAAATGAACCCACAAAAAATCAACAAAAAAAAAACGGCAATAAGTACTAAAGAAACGAAATAAAAACCAAGTTTATATACAACAATTTTTAAGTAAGAGCAGAAAAACTTTTTACGAAAAACCTTAACGAATAGAAGAAAACAAGAAAAAATGTAAATTTTAGTACTTTTCGTAAATATATGAACTTACCCCATTTAAGGTTTTAACATTGTGCAGGGCATCTTGAGCTTTTAAGGCAGCACGGCGGGTATAAAATGTCACAAAACAACAACCTGTAAATATACGAAAAAGAAAATCAAACATAAAAACGTTTAATAAAAATCGTTAAGAAAAAAATTTTGTAAATAAAAAGTAGTTGAATTCATACTTATGCAAAACGAACAAAAAAAAGTAATAAAATGAAATTATTACTTTTGGCAAGACAAAAATATAAAAATAGCTTAAACTAAAGGACTCATCATATTTTCTACATTTCGCGCAGAAATTTTGTGAATATTAAAAATTCAAATCTTTTTTTTTTTTTTTTTTCAAATATAATTTTTCTGCAAGACTCTTTTGTTTTGTAACGAAAAAAAAAAGCTCAAAAGGTCATTTCCGTTTTAAGTTGTTTATTATTTGATAAATATTTCCTTAATAACATTTAAAGTCGCTGCAATAAAATAAATTGTATTTTAGATTTTTTTCGTTTTTTTAAAAGGAAACGTCGTTTATGGCAGCTAAACAGTAGTAGAGTTGCTTAAAATGGAAATTCCTATCACGTTTAAGTAATGATGTAAATTGTAATAATGATAGTAGTTGTAACAAATATTTAAAATTATAATACAAAAGAAGAAATAAAAGTTACAGTTAAATTAATAAAGAACTGCTGAAGAAAACTTGTTTTATTTGTCTAGAACTCTTTATTTATATAAAGAGAATCTAATTAAGAACTGGGGGATCGTTTTAAACATAGTGACTTTGAGCAAGAGAAAGGAATGGTTTCTAGCGACTATTTTTTAATTTTTCGAATAGTTCTCATTTCAAAGAATTTTTTTTATTTAAATCACATTAACAATATCATCTTATTCGAGAACTGAATTAGTACTGAACTAGAAATGAACTAGAACTTAACTAGAACTGCACTATAAGAGAACTAGAACGGAACTAGAACTGAACTAGAACTGAACTAGAACTGAACTAGAACTGAACTAGAACTGAACTAGAACTGAACTAGAACTGAACTAGAACTGAACTAGAACTGAACTAGAACTGAACTAGAACTGAACTAGAACTGAACTAGAACTGAACTAGAACTGAACTAGAACTGAACTAGAACTGAACTAGAACTGAACTAGAACTGAACTAGAACTGAACTAGAACTGAACTAGAACTGAACTAGAACTGAACTAGAACTGAACTAGAACTGAACTAGAACTGAACTAGAACTGAACTAGAACTGAACTAGAACTGAACTAGAACTGAACTAGAACTGAACTAGAACTGAACTAGAACTAGAACTGAACTAGAACTGAACTAGAACTGAACTAGAACTGAACTAGAACTGAACTAGAACTGAACTAGAACTGAACTAGAACTGAACTAGAACTGAACTAGAACTGAACTAGAACTGAATTAGTACTGAACTAGAAATGAACTAGAACTTAACTAGAACTGCACTATAAGAGAACTAGAACTGAACTAGAACTGAACTAGAACTGAACTAGAACTGAACTAGAACTGAACTAGAACTGAACTAGAACTGAACTAGAACTGAACTAGAACTGAACTAGAACTGAACTAGAACTGAACTAGAACTGAACTAGAACTGAACTAGAACTGAACTAGAACTGAACTAGAACTGAACTAGAACTGAACTAGAACTGAACTAGAACTGAACTAGAACTGAACTAGAACTGAACTAGAACTGAACTAGAACTGAACTAACTGAACTAGAACTGAACTAGAACTGACTAGAACTGAACTAGAACTGAACTAGAACTGAACTAGAACTGAACTAGAACTGAACTAGAACTGAACTAGAACTGAACTAGAACTGAACTAGAACTGAACTAGAACTGAACTAGAACTGAACTAGAAATGAAATAGAACTGAACTAGAACTGAACTAGAACTGAACTAGAACTGAACTAGAACTGAACTAGAACTGAACTAGAACTGAACTAGAACTGAACTAGAACTGAACTAGAACTGAACTAGAACTGAACTAGAACTGAACTAGAACTGAACTAGAACTGAACTAGAACTGAACTAGAACTGAACTAGAACTGAACTAGAACTGAACTAGAACTGAACTAGAACTGAACTAGAACTGAACTAGAACTGAACTAGAACTGAACTAGAACTGAACTAGAACTGAACTAGAACTGAACTAGAACTGAACTAGAACTGAACTAGAACTGAACTAGAACTGAACTAGAACTGAACTAGAACTGAACTAGAACTGAACTAGAACTGAACTAGAACTGAACTAGAACTGAACTAGAACTGAACTAGAACTGAACTAGAACTGAACTAGAACTGAACTAGAACTGAACTAGAACTGAACTAGAACTGAACTAGAACTGAACTAGAACTGAACTAGAACTGAACTAGAACTGAACTAGAACTGAACTAGAACTGAACTAGAACTAAACTGAACTAGAACTGAACTAGAACTGAACTAGAACTGAACTAGAACTGAACTAGAACTGAACTAGAACTGAACTAGAACTGAACTAGAACTGAATTAGAACTGAACTAGAACTGAACTAGAACTGAACTAGAACTGAACTAGAACTAAACTAGAACTGAACTAGAACTGAACTAGAACTGAACTAGAACTGAACTAGAACTGAACTAGAACTGAACTAGAACTGAACTAGAACTGAACTAGAACTGAACTAGAACTGAACTAGAACTGAACTAGAACTGAACTAGAACTGAACTAGAACTGAACTAGAACTGAACTAGAACTGAACTAGAACTGAACTAGAACTGAACTAGAACTGAACTAGAACTGAACTAGAACTGAACTAGAACTGAACTAGAACTGAACTAGAACTGAACTAGAACTGAACTAGAACTGAACTAGAACTGAACTAGAACTGAACTAGAACTGAACTAGAACTGAGCTAGCACTGAACTAGAGTTGAACTAGAACTTTAATGAATTTTTATTCAGTTTGCTTTGATTTTTAGAAAGGGCCTTAGAAGTGAGCTGGCTTCGATCATCAGCAAATTCCTGGCTATGATATATATATGTATTTCTAAGTTGTTTGTTTTAAATAACTACATATATGGGTGTATATATACAATACTATAAATGGACTTCATCTTTCTAAATATTTAGCATTTATTTTAATTAATCAAATTGTAAGCCTTTTGTAAAAATTCAGCTAGACAAATTTAAATTACTGACCCCTGCCTCAAAATTTTTTTTTTTTTTTTTGCCACAAAAAAACGTCGAAAGTCCTCCCATTTGTAATATAACATGTCTAAAGCAAACATATCTATCATTTACAAAACAAATACATAGTTCTAAAGAATGAAATGATAAAATAAACAAAAAACGGAATTCTAGAAAATTTAATTAATTGTTCTGGTATTAAGAAAAAACTACACCTTTGGCATGAGTCTGCTACAAATATCTGTAGAAATAAACAAAGAATAAAAGAAAAACACAATTTAAAGGCGTTTTTTGCCACAACTTACAAACATATAAATTATCTCATTAACATTATAAGATTAAGGGTTTGATTTTTGCAACATAAATATAAATTATAAGAAAAACTGCCATCACTACTAAATACTTTTGCTACTGCGGCAAAATATTATTATTATTATTCAAAATATAATTTATTATTTACAACAATAAGATTGGAATTTCCTTTTACTCACTTCCTTTCGTTTTTCACTAGAGTGTTTAGAAAATTTATGGGTTTTGTGTATTGGAAACGGGAATTTCAAGATATAGCTTTTAAAAAACACAAATATCACAAACAGAATTCTTGAAAACGATTTATGAATATTTAAAAACTGTAACCATTGTAGTTTTAATGTTAAGGAAACATTTGAAATTGCTGTTTGTGCTTTAAAAAAATCAAAAAGATATTTCATCCCTATTTACATTTACGCCCCAGATCCAGGTATATTTTAGTTCAATTCTAGTTTAGTTCTATTTTAGTTCTAGTTCAGTTCTAGTTCAGTTCTAGTTCAGTTCTAGTTCAGTTCTAGGTCAGTTCTAGTTCATTTCTAGTTCAGTTCTAGTTCAGTTCTAGTTCCGTCTAGTTCAGTTCTAGTTCTAGTTAGTTCTAGTTCAGTTCTAGTTCAGTTCTAGTTCAGTTCTAGTTCCAGTTCTAGTTCAGTTCTAGTTCATTCTAGTTCAGTTCTAGTTCAGTTCTAGTTCAGTTTCTAGTTCAGTTCTAGTTCAGTTCATAGTTCAGTCTAGTTCAGATTCTAGTTCAGTTCTAGTTCGAGTTCTAGTTCTAGTTCTAGTTCTAGTTCTAGTTCTAGTTCTAGTTCAGTTCTAGTTCAGTTCTAGTTCAGTTCTAGTTCAGTTTCTAGTCAGTTCTAGTTCAGTTCTAGTTCAGTTTCCTAGTTCAGTTTAGTTCAGTTTTTCTAGTTCAGTTCTAGTTCAGTTCTAGTTACATTGTCTCTTCATTTCTAGTCAGTTACTAGTGCAAGTTCTAGTTCGTTTTAAGTCCAGTTCTAGTTCAGTTCTAGTTTAGTTCTAGTTTGGTCTAGTTCAGTTCTAGTTAGTTCTAGTTCGTTCTAGTTCAGTTCTAGTTCGTTCCTAGTTCAGTTCTAGTTAGTCTAGTTCAGTCTAGTTCTTCTAGTTCAGTTCTAGTTCAGTTCTAGTCAGTTCTAGTTTACAGTTCTAGTTCATTCTAGTTCAGTTCTAGTTCAGTTCTAGTTAAGTTCAGTTTTCAGTTTCAGTTCAGTTTTCTAGTCAGTCCCCTAGTTTCAGTTCTAGTTTCAGTCTAGTTCAGTTCTAGTTCAGTTTCTAGTTCAGTTCAGTTCTAGTTCAGTTCTAGTTCAGTTCTAGTTCAGTTCTAGTTCAGTTCTAGTTCAGTTTAAGTTCAGTTCTAGTTCAGTTCTAGTTTAGTTCTAGTTTAGTTCTAGTTCAGTTCTAGTTCAGTTCTAGTTCAGTTCTAGTTCAGTTCTAGTTCAGTTCTAGTTCAGTTCTAGTTCAGTTCTAGTTCAGTTCTAGTTCAGTTCTAGTTCAGTTCTAGTTCAGTTCTAGTTCAGTTCTAGTTCAGTTCTAGTTCAGTTCTAGTTCAGTTCTAGTTCAGTTCT